TTGAGGAGGTAGGTCCCACCAGACTTGCTGGAGGGTGTGACGTAGGATTGAACGCCCTACTCACATATCTTTAGTTCACCAAACACCACAAAAGTCATGGATCTCCCTAAGGTAAAACGCTCATTATCCGGAAGTAAACTAGTCCCCCGTTCGGGTCTCCGGGTGGGGACTGCTTTAGGGGATTCATGGCGCAAGTTGAAATATAGGGATTTAAATATTGGTACGTGGAACGTAAGGAGTTTAAACACAGCAGGGGGGCTAAAATCGGTCGCGAATGAGGTAAATGGGTACAATTTGGATGTCGTGGCTCTGCAAGAGGTTCGCTGGCCAGGGAGGGCTCGATGAGGGAAGGAAGTACACTATTTGGTACGGAGGAAGCGGGAATCATTGTTTAGGTACCGGGTTTCTAATTAGGAGTAGATTACTATCCGCTTTGAGGGACGTACAATTCTTTAGTGATAGAATTTCGGTAGCTACATTTCAGGGACGTTGGTTTAAAATCGCATTAATAAACATACATTGTCCGACCGAAGACAGTGACGATGAAGTCAAAAGTGAATTTTACGATAAACTCGAATGGGTTTATGATAAACTACCGCGAAACTACATGAAAATAATTGTAGGTGACGCGAACGCAAAGGTAGGAAGGGAAGAAGTTTATATTCCGACGATTGGTAAAGAAAGTTTGCACGAATATAGTAATGATAATGGGATCCGTCTGATAAACTTTGCCATCTCGAAAAACCTGATAATTAAAAGTACGACGTTTAAACATAAGGATATTCATAAATATACTTGGACATCACCGGATTCGCAAACACGAAATCAAATCGATCATGTCTTGATACAACACAGCTGGCAAAGCAGTATAATTAATGTACGGTCTTATCGCGGAGCAGAATGTGGGTCGGATCATGAATTAGTAATCGCGAAACTTCGACAAAAACTTAATATAAAAAAGAGAAAAGAAAACCGTTTCGATTTTGAGAATTTTAATTTGGAAAAATTAAAAAATCCATCAATTAGAAACCAATTCGAGCTAGATGTTAAGAATAGGTTTGAAGCTTTAGAGCTTCCTGACGAGGACCACGAGGATATTGACAAGTTATAGGATATAATATTAAAGCGGTCGGTAACTCGTGTCTAGGAAAAAGGAAAATAAGAATAACAAACCGTGGTTTGATGAAGATTGCTTAAACATGTGCGAAAAAAGAAAAGCCGCTAAATTAAAAGCTCTAAATAATCCTAGCGAAGACAATCTGGAATACTTCCGAATCTCAAAGAACGAAACGACAAAATTGCTCAAAAATAAAAAAAGGGAGTATCTTAAAAAAAATAATTGAAATAGAAACTAATAGAATCGAAATAATAACGTAAGAGACATGTACAAAGGTATAAACAGATCACGTAAATATGTAGGGCCCGTAACGTCTGGAATTAGGGATGATAATAACAATATTCTGACCGATCCGGTTGACATATTGAATAATTTAAGGACCACTTTGACAATATTTTAAATACGGAAATTATGATCTGTGTCCTCCTTCTGAGTACCAGAGTGCTGAACCGTTAATAGAAGGAAGTAAAGAGGAAGTTGAAGTAGCTATCGGAAAATTAAAATCATAGCAGCGGAATCGATAATATTCCTACTGAACTAATTAAGGCATGGGGAAGCTGGAGTTTCTAAAATACATCGGTTGGTTAAAAAGATCTGGGTGAACGAGAAATTACCTGAAGAATGGAAAGAATCTATTCTTATTCCGATTCACAAAAAGGGTCCGAGGACGGATTGTAATAACTATCGAGGAATTTCACTCCTTCCGGTATGTTATAAAATATTCACTTTAATCTTAACCAGTCGAATCACGGAATACGCCGAGGAAATTATCGGAGACTACCAATGCGGATTTAGACGGAATCGTTCGACTATTGATCAAATATTTTCTTTACGGCAAATATTAGAGAAAAAATTGGAGTATAACGGTATTGTTCACCAGCTGTATATAGATTTTAAAAAGGCTTACGATTCTATTGACCGCCAGAAACTGTATAATATTCTAATCGAGCAGGGGATTCCAAAAAAACTAGTAAATCTAGTCAGGATGTGCTTGACGGAGACACTCAATAAAGTTAGAATCGGTAATAATTTGTCCGAAAAATTTGAGGTTCGTTCGGGCTTAAAACAGGGGATTCCTTTCGCCTGTCCTGTTCAATTTGGCATTAGAACATGCCATTAGGGAGTAATGCGAACCGAGAAAGGGTTGGATCTGGGGGGACAACATCCGTGCTGGGCTATGCTGATGATCTGGTACTGTTAAGCGAAGACGTTGAAACTATAAAACTAAATACGACAACGTTAATGAAAGCCGGTAAAGAACTAGGACTCGAAATAAACGTGGATAAAACAAAATATATGGTTAGCTGCAAAAATGGCGATACTACTGGTGATATCGATATAGATGGTAATATGTTTGAACAGGTAGATAAATTTAGGTATCTAGGTTCTACGATAACTAGAAAAAACGAAATTGAAGAAGAGATTAAGGTTAGACTGAAGGCGGGAATGCTTGTTATTTTTCTGTGACAAAACTACTTAGTTCGCGCCTCTTGTCCCGAAACTTAAAAATTAGAATCTATAAAACAATTATCTTGCCTACAGTTCTTTATGGATGCGAAACTTGGCCGCTTACATTAAGGGATGAGCAGCGTCTTAAGGTTTTTGAAAATAAAGTATTGCGTAGAATATTCGGAGAAGGATGAGTTAACCGGAGAGTTCAGACGGTTACACAACGCCGAATTGCGTGAACTGTATCCGGTAATATAATTGAGGTAATTTCATCGCGGCGAATCAAATGGGCTTGTAAAGTTGTTGGGCTTAGTAACGAGAGAATTCCTAAAAGTTAATATTTGCTGTGCCGAATGGTAAGCGTCCAGGGGTAGACCGAAGCGAAGGTGGGAAGATTGCATTAAAGCCGATCTGAAGGGACTGGGTTTGGACGGTGAACGATGGAGGGAGGTGTGCAATAAGTGATTGGTGTGTCGGCATCGAACCTTCGGGTTCGCTAAGCCTTTTTATTATTATTTATTATCATTTAGGTACAGGATTTAACATTAGGAAGTTTTAAGTTGGTAATTAACACAGACTGCAATTACTTTATCTCCTTTGCATTTAACTTGAACTAGTTACCTTTTTCCTGCCACAATTTTATTTGCCTTCTTGAGTTTTTTAGTGGTTGGTAATAGATGAGAAGGCACAAGTATATTTGGAAATAGTTGTCATCGATATGGTATTGAGAGTGATGGATCAGGAGGGGAAGGTCATTAATCTCCTTGACTTGAAGACATGAGGAAGGATTCGAATCAACGCTCCTGCATGGTCAAATAAATGCTTTGGAAAAATGTAGAAGCATGAAGATGGTTAGTTTTTGGTGTTTAATACAGTTTTAAGGTTAAACATTATTTTTAGGAGGGCGTATTACTTTAGTAGCCAGGTTGAAATGAGTTGATGAAGGACATTCCTCTAGGAAATTAAAAAGTTAATTTTGCATAAGCTTTGCAGCAATTTTGAAAGGTCGGGTAGGAGAGAAACAGGATGAAAATCACACAGTGAGAAAGGGCTTGATGTTCTAATCAAAAGATGGACTAGGTCACTTTTTAAAGATGGGAATAAGGAATTTAGTAATGAAATTTTTTAGATATGGTTAAGAACTCCGGTAGGAATTTATTAGTTTTACTGGAATATTATCAGAACCATAATCATAGGTAACAGATATTAGGACAGTGGTAAGTAGTTCTTCATAGGAAAAAGGGGAAAACAAATTCTTCCAGTTTGAAATTGTGATTTTCAATATCAGCAGGAGAGGAAATGAGATTGGAAATAAGAACTGGTCACTGAGAAGGAACTGAGGATGTTGGATCCTAGTAGTGATACGGATTGCCTAATATAATTCAATATAGTATTAATCATAAGATGGAAGAAGTCGTTTTTTTCAGTAATTGTGACTGACCAAGGAAAAGAAAATTATTACAAAACTTCATTTATGTTTTAAACAAAAATGTTTATAAGTTACAATAATCTGTATCTCAGGTAATAATGGTCAGTATTCGATAATTTTTTTTTGTTTTAATGTGAATTTAGTAATCTTACAAATAATCATCAGTACAACAAAAAAAAAAATGCATATTTTTGAAAGTATTCGCAAATAATGTTTCTTTTTTGTCATAACTTTTTTTCCTAAAATTTCGAGGGGTCATGCTAATTTCTGCATCAGAAAATGTTCAAAACGAGGCTCAATCCTTGGATTTGATGAATAATAGACAGAGATATGGCTTATCAAAAAAACCTTTCAGAAATAATACATAAGGATATCAGGCAATGAAAATTCACACATAACTTCAGCCTCAGAGCTCATATGAACTTTAATTCTGTCGCTATGTTGAAGTTCCCATTAAATTTATGTGGCAGAAGCTGTAATAAATTGAATTGTTTGAACTAAATTGTACATAGCTCATTAGTCAGCATAAAATCAGTCCAAAACACAAAAAAGAACTTCTTCGTGGAATGGCTATAAGAATTTTAAAAATGATACATTTAGTAATTAATTTAACAAAACATTGAAAAAAATCACATTATCAATAGATAAATAACATTGCATAATTTGGCTTAAGGACAAAAATATCTAATATTTATATAATGGTCATTTTTATTTTATTTCAAAAATACAAATTTCTAATGTTATCGAAAATTACATAAAAATATTAAATTACAAATAATATTAGATAACAATTCAAACAAACAGCGAAACTGTTAGACAAGCTGCACTTCAGTTTAAATATTTAAAAAAATATCAGCTTTAATAGTAAAATTTAGCTTAAGTCTCATCCAAGTTAAAAATAAGTTAGAACTTCTAATAACCACAGATTCCCTGAAAATATAAAAAATTGTATCAATTATCACATCAAACCAGGCTCAATTTTGATTTATTTTAATATATACTAACTTAGTTGAGTGAGTTTCTACTTTCATTAGATGGATACAGAGGTTGTGTGCATTTTGCAGATTCTGGGAATCGCTCTAAATAACGAGCCTCTCTAATATATTTTACTGTAACAAGATTACCTGCAAAAGAAATATTTTTAAAATTAAATTTGTCAAAATAATAATAAATAAAACAAAAGAAGGTAAACCAAATTAGTGTACAATGTTACCAAGCAAATGAGTGAGTTTATTAGTGAGATCAATTAATAATTATAGTACTAATACATAAAAACCTAATTAAATGTTGTCTTATGATAATTCATTGGCGTTTATTATTGCTAAGGAATCAAGAAATTAATAATTAAATTTCTGATTTGAATTTAAATCCTCAAGCATAAAACTAGTACTAACAGATAACTCAAAGATATTGACTAAAATAATTGTGTTTTCCATGAGGATCAAGCCACAGGGACAATTTATTAAGAATTATTTAGGAGTGGATAATTTAAAGCTTTTTATCTAGACAACTTATTATTGCGATACATGTTAAACAGTGGGTTATACTCCTATATTTGTCTTCTAGCACATGAAATGTAAACTGATAATGAGGACCAGGTGGCCAAGGAGCCGGTTGACTTTAATTTGACCAATCCCAATCCTTCAACAAAAATAAAATATTAGATAGAGAAGATGTTACAGGAAATAGTAAAGTAAAACTGGGGAAACCAAGATCTAAAACCCCTATAACCCAGAAAATCCATAGAAAAAAAAAAAAAAAAGAACTTGTCAGAGGCTTGGTCATTCCCCTGGTATTGACAATGTTGACATGGAAATCCTCAAAAATTGTATTCCCTATATTAAAGATCAACTTCTGGCTATGTTCAAAGATTGCTTAGATAGGGGCTACTTCCGAAAAAAGTGAGCTGCAAAATGCAATAATATTTGTAGATTACGAAATTTGATATTTATATTCAAACCTTCCCCTGCGACGAGGTAGATTTTTGGATCCTGGCTCCAGGGCTAGAAGGTTTAATCAATTTAATCTAGAAGGGCAATCTTTTCTGATGTCGATATTAATTACAAATTCTTCAGATATCACAATGATCCTGTACATTTTGTTGATAAAATCAATGGTTGCGAAGATATTTAAGAGGTCATAGTTTTAGAATTTATAGTTTAAGTAAAAACTGATCCTAATCATGAAATTACAGGTAATACATACATACATAGTAGATAATACATTTTGAAGTTTAATTTGTTTGTTAAACATTTTTGATCATTTGAATTATTATTAAGTCAGCTGCCATCCTCATCTTCCTCTCACACTATCTTTTTATCAGGTCAGCACACCCCTCCACAGCAGCTAGATCATCAACGTAAGCTGTGGCAAGGAACCATTCTTCTTGGAGCCCTCCCAGCAGCTATTCGAAGATTAATTTCCACGGAGCGGTACCAAGGACAGAGTCCTGTGGACAGCCTCTCTCCATGATATCTTATGCTACATAGAAGTTACCTCTTGTTCGTAGTAGCATTCTGTCCTTGAAGATAACTTCTCATTAAAGTTTACAGGTTGCTGTGATTCTTGTATTTCTACAGTTGGTAGGTTATGCTTGGCCATCATACGCTATTGAAGACAGAGGCTGTCAAACAATTTTTTTTTTTTTTTTACAAAAACACAGGTCTTCTTGAAATGCAGGAATGATAGGGCCCACTCTATTACTATGATTTTCCAAGGATCAAGAATATGTCCCAATGAGGTTGTCCCTACCTTGGTGTCACAATTGAAAGAAATTTTTAAAGTGACATCTCACTTGGACTATTTGAGAAGGGGGGTGACCCTAGACCACCCCTTAATGGACTGCAGTATCAGGAGTGACTTTTTGGGACACAGATACCCAGAAATTACAACCATTTATAAAGGTATAATTCTTGGTATTCTGAGGTATGTGTCCCCTGGCTGGAATCTAAATCTCTCGCTTCACCAGAAGAACAGGCTGGCATGAATTCAGCGGATAGCACTGCTATGAGTCACCAAAGCTTACAGGATAGTGTCTCATGAGACAGTACAGGTCCTGGCAGGAGGAGCATCTCTCCACCTCCTCATGACCACTCGAGGATTTCTATCTTCAGGGAGCTGATATGTATGAAATTCAGCTCTGCTATTTCTTAAACAGCTAACTATTTTTCTGTAATCGTTCGGGGTCTGAGGGTAAACAGTTACTCGCTTGGAATTTGTTCTTAGTAAAAAGGAGTTTGGTCCTGAATTTGTTTGCAAGTGTGAAACAAGGACTGCGTAGTTTTTTATATCAGTAATAAAGATTGGAGGTGGGTCAGTTGTGACATTAGGTGATGGATTAGTAGCTGAGGTTTGCCATTGTTCATCTTGATTAGCTAGATTCTGAAAACTATTACTAATAGTTACCTCTACTTCAGTTTTTTTTTTTTGTTTTCTAGGATCTCTATCTGCAACTATGTTTTGTTTTTCTGCCAGTAACTTGTTCCCATGCACCTCTTTCATTGACCAAGCCACAGCTGTTGTTTTTGCCTCGTTATTTAGGTAAAATAACTTCTCAATCAACAGTTATTTACGAAAATTTATAGAGCAAAAATAAATTTAAACTTTTATATATGCCATACACAGTATGTTCTGAACCAAGAAAATTTCGGCTTCCATTGTCACAAGTTGGACTATAGTCGATCTACTTTTCCTAAAACCACACTGAATAGGGAACAAAAGGTTAAATATTTTTAACACCCACATCAGACGTCTATTAACTATTTTCTTTAAGAGTCTTGACAGACAACTGGTTAGCAATATTGGTCGATTCTATTGAAAATATTAAAATAAAAATCATGAAAACCATTTGAAGAGAACTTTTGAGCGAATAAACTAAGCTAAGTTCTGTTTTTCAAAAAATATATAAACTATTCACAATTTTGTTTATCATCATCCAACTATGCAAAAAATAACTCACTTTTAGAACAACTTTCTCATTTAGTAAGCTTTGAATCTATTTTGATCAAATTGAGTTGTTTTTTTTAGGGAAAAACTCAATTTGATCAGAATAGATTAAAAGCTTACTAAACGAGGAAGTTTTTCTAAAAGTGGGTTATTTTTTGCATAGTTGGATGATGATTAACAAAATCGTATTTTCAATAAAAAGTATCGAAATAAATTGTTGAAAAGCATTAATTTCTTGTTTTTCCATGATCTGGAATGTATTATAATAAACATAATTGCCTAAATACACATAAACCTATCTATATTCAATTTTTAAATCCTATCACACCTTAAGACTCTTTCGGATGTATATATGCACCAATATATGGGACGAAATATATTTGCCTAGAGCCTTAATGTGTACTAAAAGGAAGCAGACCACTACACCAAGTTTAAATATTCGTATATTGCAATTTCCCTATCAATTCCACCAAAATGTTTCAGGAGATATGGAAGTAAATTCCCTTAGGGTTGACAGAATTTCCCAATTTCCGTAGTAGTTTTTTTTTTAAATTATATCTTCGCTTCCTGACTAATGAAGGTAGGGAAGCATTGTATTCACGCGAGATACAAGAAGCCTGTGAAATGTGAAAGGCATTGATCACCAGGAGTGGGAAGGTTAAGACAATATTTTCAAGGGATTATAAAATTTTAGGTTTTATTCAAAAGTTAATTTATAATGTATTGTTCAGTCGACTCCAAACGCTACTGGCATGATACTTACTGCCGTTACTTAGATTTTATGTAATTTTCAGTAAATTTAAATTAATTTGTACTCCGAGTTTGTTAAAAAAAAAGTCTTATTTGTGATTGTGTTTATTCTATTAAAGTTCAACCACCTCACGGTGGTCTCGATTTCCTCCTTAAATATCAAAGTTGTGTGAACTTCACGCATATTTTTTTTATTCTATCTTCGAGTTCTGTGCTGGGCCAGCCTTTATCTAAACGTTGTCAGTTCACTCTCTACAAAGTGACTTTTTAAACAGTGTAACATTACAGTTTTATTGACAGTTCATCTCGAAGAGAGAAATAAATAAGGTGAGTGATCACTTATTTATCACAATTACAGTGAATACTTTAAACAGACTAAGGATAGAGATAGTCAAGGGACAGCTATAATCCCTTCAGTGGCTAGCCTACCTCCACCCGCGGCGGTTCTGTACTACTCTCTCTTACAAGTTTGTGTAAATAATTATATACATGTATAAACATTTTTTCCCAGTTATTTTTTGATCCCGCATCAATATAAAATGTTGAGCAATATTTTCACATGGAGATGTCGAGTAAAGCTAAAGCACAAAAACTTCCTCTCTCATCACCACTAGATATTATAAAAAAAGAATTCACAGCTAAGGGATTCCAGGTTCGCAAAATTTTAAATGTATATAAGGAGGAAAAGGAGCATATCGGACTAAAAAATAAAATAGTTTTTTTTTGTATACCTTGAACGAATACCTGGAGTCAAGGACATCTAGAAAGTTAATCGCTTGCACTATACCAGTATAATTGTCAAAAAATCTTACCCTAAGCGGGATATAGTCCAGTGCCACAACTGTCAGGCCTATGGCCACACAAAACACTACTGCCATCACATATCTCGCTGTGTTAATTGATATAGAACAGCCTAGAACTCCCAAATGCTAAGAGATATAGAACAGCCTCCACAATCTCAGGCCTTGCTGTTGACACAACCCTATTATATTCAACCTCAACCACCTACCCAAAACCCCAGCCATCACCAAATCTCCTACATACCTCCTCCTAACAATGCCAATGACCTCACCAGCCTCCTCATATCATTCCTCGATTAGTTCAGATTCCTCATCACCCTACTTACAAACGTTGGTCAAATTTAATTCCACCCCCAAAAAATCCTTAAATAACCACAAACAAATCCCTTTCCATTCTCCTTTGGAATGCGAATGGTGCTCAAAACCACACTAACGAATTAATAATTTTAATAAATGACAAAAATATTGGAATAGCCCTAATAACTGAAACCCAATTGGCCAGTAAACGACTATTCAACATTATTTATATATTCCACCCTCCCATGCCACTATGGCAATACGGGTGTTTGCTATAGTGTGTTATTAGGCATGAATGCTTAACAACACACTACTACTTGTTAACACGATGT